CCATGATATTATATATCCATGGGTACCAAGTGCTATAATATAAATTATGATATACTAGCTATTTTATTTACTTATTTTTATTTATAAGACTTATATAATAAATATTATTTTCTTAAACAAATATCTAATAGTTTTTTAATGTACATAGATGAAATTTATAGTTTTGATTTGTACCCGACCATCAAATATTTATTTTATTAATATATTATTTTAATTTTCAATAGTATTATCATTACAAATGAGATAGTCAATGGAGGTATATATTTGTATGGTTAAGTCGACTCATTTAGAAAAAAAATTATTAACATTTTAAAGTATTCAATAAATTAGTATGATTGAAACATATTATTCTGATTAGTTTATTATATATTTTAACTACTTATAACGGTAAACATAACTAACTAAATTAATATCTACAACCATATATGATAATATATTTAATTAATCAATTATTATAATATGTTTTATTTTTAATTTTGCCAATAAGTTACTATGAAATGAATATTAAGATATTATGGAGAATTCATCTAATCACTCTACAGTCAGAATTATTCTATTTAAATCAATGTATAGTTATTGGATATCAGTCACTGAGTACACACAAAATAATTAATTTGTTTTTTCATATATAAGATTTGCCAATAAATAAAGATTGTTTAAATGCAAAATATAGACAAAAAAAATATTTCCCACCCAAATCCATGCAAATTATGGCAATATGGATTGGTACATTAAATAGACGAGTGTTGATACATATGTGATGCACAAGATATACTATAAATTAATTCTATTGTTCAAATACTTTTTTATTATTTAAGATAATTTGATAATTTTATCTGATGCAATATATTGAGTCAGTAATAATATAGTGTTTACTAGTTTTCTTTTATTTGAATTTATTTTTGCAGGTATTGACTGTTAATATATAATAATCTACTACTTATAAGTTTATAAAATATTATAAGTATCTAAGATTTAAATATGATGTTCGTATAAAAATAATCTGCATGTATTATAAAATTATCCATTATCTTGATCTTAAAATTTCCTAACAATTCATATTTTTTATATTGCTCGACAACTAACTAACCTTGAACCCATAAAATTCATTTTCTTTTATTATAATATAGATGTATGAAATATTTGTTTTTTAATATTTGCCTATAATTTTTTTAATTCATTTTCAACATCTATAATGAGTGTACTGGTATACAACTTAAATATTTATATACTTTATATATTTTAGTTATTATCAAATGCTATTGTAATATCCCGTCAGTTTATTAATATAAATCATGTTTTTAGTTCCGAAATAATAATATTTTCGAGTATTATTTTCCGAATTAATTATTTTCAGTTGAGATTACCCGAAATTATTTTCGACGTTCCATTTACGTTCGGAATAATTTTGGTAAATAAGCATTATGTTTAATTAAATAATTAAACATAATGAGGTGATTAATTATCAATAATTACATTTTAATAAGCAAAGACGTGGCTTATTTTCCCAAATAATTCCATTTTGCCGTGGGCAAGTTAGTGGTCATGTTGGGGGAATTTTTCTCCAAAACTTGTAGCATGAGGTGGCACAAATTAAAGCATAATTGATGACTAAGATAAGTAGGGTGATTAGTCATCTTTTGAGTCATAAGCTTGCTCCAAGTGGCTTAAGGAGATTTAAACACAAAGCTCCTCACCTCTTCGGCCATTATATACATAGGCTAGTGTTTGGGAAAATTTCCATCTTTTTGAGTCTATATATATATATATATATATATGTTCCGCATAGAGAGTGTAGAGAGAGTTGTGAGATTGTGAGAATTTTAAGGAGTACGCACGCCGAGCTTTCCGCGAGTAACCGCACCGCACGGCGACGCAACGCACGCGGAGAGCCACGCACGAGCACGGGAGTCCGAGGAATTGCTGTCAGTCGAGCATAATCGGAGGTAATTCCCGTGTAATTATAGGCTTGGATTAGCATGTTCTTTAAGTTCAACTTTCAGTTCAAGTTCATATGCGTGTCGCGTATAGGTTCAGCCGTGCGAGTAGCCGTGTCAAGTCATGCTATGTTT